TAATTACTGTCCTTCTCTCTCCGATCCCCGACTCTAGTAACATCATTAATTACTGTCCTTCTCTCTCCGATCCCAGACTCTAGTAACATCATTAATTACTGTCCTTCTCTCTCCGAATCCCCGACTTTAGTAACATCATTAATTACCGTCTTTCTCTCTCCGATCCCTGACTATAGTAACATCATTGATTACCGTCTTTCTCTCTCCGATCCCAGAATCTAGTAACATCATTAATTACTGTCCTTCTCTCTCCGATCCCCAAATCTAGTAACATCATTAATTACTGTCCTTCTCTCTCCGATCCCCAAATCTAGTAACATCATTAATTACTGTCCTTCTCTCTCCGATCCCCGACTCTAGTAACATAATTAATTACTGTCCTTCTCTCTCCGATTACTGACTCTAGTAACATCATTAATTACTGTCCTTCTCTCTCCGATCCCCGACTCTAGTAACATCATTAATTACTGTCCTTTTCTCTCCGATCCCCAACTCTAGTAACATAATTAATTACTGACCTTCTCTCCCCGATCCCAGACTCTAGTAACATCATTAATTACTGTCCTTCTCTCTCCGAATCCCCGACTTTAGTAACATCATTAATTACCGTCTTTCTCTCTCCGATCCCTGACTCTAGTAACATAATTAATTACTGTCCTTCTCTCCCCGATCCCAGACTCTAGTAACATCATTAATTTCTGTCCTTCTCTCTCCGATCCCAGACTCTAGTAACATCATTAATTACTGTCTTTCTCTCTCCGATCCCTGACTCTAGTAACATAATTAATTACTGTCCTTCTCTCTTCGATCCCTGACTCTAGTAACATCATTAATTACTGTCCTTATCTCTCCGATCCCCGACTCTAGTAACATCATTGATTACCGTCTTTCTCTCTCCGATCCCTGACTCTAGTAACATCATTAATTACTGACCTTCTCTCTCCGATCCCCAAATCTAGTAACATAATTAATTACTGTCCTTCTCTCCCCGATCCCAGACTCTAGTAACATCATTAATTTCTGTCCTTCTCTCTCCGATCCCAGACTCTAGTAACATCATTAATTTCTGTCCTTCTCTCTCCGATCCCAGACTCTAGTAACATCATTAATTTCTGTCCTTCTCTCTCCGATCCCAGACTCTAGTAACATCATTAATTTCTGTCCTTCTCTCTCCGATCCCAGACTCTAGTAACATCATTAATTACTGACCTTCTCTCTCCGATCCCCGAATCTAGTAACATAATTAATTACTGTCCTTCTCTCCCCGATCCCAGACTCTAGTAACATCATTAATTTCTGTCCTTCTCTCTCCGATCCCAGACTCTAGTAACATCATTAATTACTGTCTTTCTCTCTCCGATCCCTGACTCTAGTAACATAATTAATTACTGTCCTTCTCTCTCCGATTACTGACTCTAGTAACATCATTAATTACTGTCCTTCTCTCTCCGACCCCCGACTCTAGTAACATCATTAATTACTGTCATTCTCTCTCCGATCCTCGACTCTAGTAACATCATTAATTACTGACCTTCTCTCTCCGATCCCCAAATCTAGTAACATCATTAATTACTGTCCTTCTCTCTCCGATCCCAGACTCTAGTAACATCATTAATTACTGACCTTCTCTCTATCATAATAAAATACTCAATTAAAGATACCACAATGCTATAGCCCGAACTATACATTTAATTTCATGAAGAAAACATCCCTTTGTCAAATTATATATTTTATATTTACTGTTCTAGTTGATTATATTAGTAACAGCCGACTATTCAGTATTTTAACACGAAGACTAATATGTAAACTGTAAATCTATGTTAACCTGAATTTCGATGAACTCAATTTTTTCGTACGCAATAAGATTAGTTTCACACTTTTATTACAGTAAAAAACCACACTGATATTTTATGATGAGATTGGATAAATATGAATAAATTCATACATAAGTTTAAGGTTCATTATATAAGTAGCACTTCATCTTACTTACAGCAGAAGAGGTAGAAAGTGAGAATGTTACGGTGAGTAGAACAATTCCCCGAAACCATGGATTACACAAGGCATACATAGTACATGTAAGTAAGATAGGAGGCATCAAGCATATAGTCGATTATATATCACAAATGTTGCTACTCAGGAAAAGTCAATATGGAGAAATTAATAAGATTTCTGAATATTTTATTTTTACTTGAAGACAAAAGTTTATCATTATTGTCTTGTACCACTTCCTTATCACTACAACTTGAGGTATTTTAGATAGAGAAGCTCCAAACAACAGAGATTGGCATGTTCCAGCATCCCTATGGAGTCCCGTGTCTATTGTCAGTGGACCATTGATGGTACTGTCAGTGTAGTGTATAGGTTGGGCATAGACATGACACAAAACACCCTTATAGTGTATAGGTTTGGCATAGATGTGACACCAAACACCCTTATAGTATATAGGTTGGGCATAGACATGACACCAAACACCCTTATAGTATAGGTTGGGCATAGATGTGACACCAAACACCCTTATAGTGTATAGGTTGGGTAAAGACATGTCACACCAAAAACCCTTATAGTGTATAGGTTGGTTATAGATGTGACACCAAATTTTAACACCCTTATAATGTATAGGTAAGGCAAGGACGTGACACCAAAAACATTATCAACAAATCATTTCCGTTGCATGTTGAAATAAAAAACAACTTGCTGTGACCATCAAAAAGTTGGGGAAAGGACATTTGATGACCTATGATAGATGTCAAAATCTGCTGGTTGTCAAACCCTCCACCAGGTTAAACCTTCACCAGACATAATTATATACAAGGCTCACATTCAGTGAAGACTTTGTTGGGTACAAAACCTCAAATTCTGTAACCTTGAACTTCAAGCTAATCTGGTCAGCGCAACTACTTCAAATTAAGCTTATCTCTTAAAACAATTTTATACAAAACATTTTAAATAGGCAGTTTCTAAGAAAAAAAATATTTATTAAAAATTCTCAAAGAAATACATTAAATACTTAATGAATTTAACATTCCCTAAACAAATAAGTATTATTCTAATAGTGATCCATTACTGGTTTTCACTTCATCCTGGTGTAGATACACGATAACTGTTCCTCATTTCAGACTCATGCTGGGGAACGGTGTAGGTCAAAGTTCATGTCACTCGTGCAGCTTAATTAAACAAAGCTGATATTTCCATGGCAAACATTTAGAGCTTAACGTTTTTACAAGTGTAAAGTTTCAATTATGTTACTACAATAATTTTAAATCCAAACACTTCCATTATTTTGTTTAAGAATACTGTCATTAAATTGTGTCTTAATTGAACCCATAGGAAACTTCCTGACCTGACCTTGACACATGACGTCGTTCCTTCAGGATAGACCTTACTTTAGAGAACATCCTTCTTAGTGTTAGAACACTGTGTCAAATACATGCATACTTAGCTATTTATAGAATGGTAATACCAATGATACTGACTTCCAAATCGTATGACGTCATATGACAAAATACCATAAACTACTGATTTAATATTTCAGCCATGAGTTCCTAAACAACACTCCACATCTGATGTGCAAATCATTGAGGACATGCGCTTCCGTGACAAAAGATAAATAATGTATATCTGCTTACAGAGGTAACACATTTCTGACTAATGATATCTGACCATGCCCCATACAAATGTCATACTGCATAAAACTGTGTATCTTTCT